TCTTCCGCCAGCGGCTGCTGCTGCTGTGGGGGTTCGCCGTCGTGCTGCTGCTGTGGTGCGAGGCTTGGTCCCTGCTCTTGTCTTGTTCCCACTATGGGGTCCGCAGCGAGGTGCTGCAGCGAAGCTCGCAGCCGTTGCCAGGCGTCATCTGTGTTTTGCTGTGGGCTCTCTGCTGCCGCTGGCTCTCCATGCTCCAGGTCAGCCCCTTGTGCGGGGTCCCCTGCCGTGGCTGCGCTCGCCGCGGGTGTCACGGGTGGGTCTCGGCCGTAGCCGAAAACCTGTCTGTAGAGGGCTGTCGGCCGTGAGTGACGGAAGTCTGCTGGTGGTGGTTGCCGGGGCTTGGGTGGTTCCTCCTTCGGCGGATCCTGGGGCTGATTCCCCGCTGCTGCTGCTGACCAACCATGCTGTTGGGTCCCCTCGTGCCTGAGGTGTGCTGGCGGCGGCTTGGGATGCGGCGCCCTGTGCTGTTGGGGGGCTCCTGGTGGCTTCTGCTGGCCTTGCGCTGCAGGTTTGTCGGGTTGGGCAGGGGGTTGCTTGACGGGTGGGTCGGCGGCCGCCGTGCCTGCATGGGCCTGGGTGGGTGGTGCCTTGTACTTTGCAGGCGATAGCCGTCCGGGTGCTTGCGGTGGGGCCTTGATCCCGCTGCGGGGCAGTGTTGCTACTGATGTCGCTGGGCTGCTGTGCCCCTGCTGGTGCTGTCTGTTGCTCTCTCTCTCTCTCTCTCTCTCTCTCGCTCCCTCTCTCTCTACTACTTCCCTCTTAGATGAAATGGAAGCTCCGGCTCGCGAAGCCAGACAGCTCGCCATCGCAAGAAGCAGACAAATAGAAGACAACTGTTTAGGGGTTTAGGGTTTAATTACGGACACGGGGTTGAGGATGGTTTCGGGCAGGTTTAGGATTTTACGGGTTCGGTCTTCAGGGTTGGGTGGGTTTGGCTTCACCAGGAGTCTCGCAAAGCCCTCTGCAGTTTTTTTGTATGGCCGCCAGTTTGGCTGCAGCCTCCAGCAGCAAGTGCACGACTTCATCGCACCCATTCACAGAAACTGCTTTCAAGTCAGCCCTGAAGTCCACAGCAACTCTCCCTCGAAACCCCGCTGTTTTTGCGACCTTTTTTGGTGCCGCCAGGAGACGAACGCTTTTCGACTCTCGGGGTGGTTTGGTGGCTTTGAGGTTGCAAGTTGTCGGCTTTCAGGGCTCTCACCGTGGTTCTTTTCGTAGGTTTGGGGACTGTGTGGCCTTGCGAGTTGTAAGGTCGGCAAACTTTATTCGGGACCTCGGAAGAGGCCGGCAGCTTCTTCGAGTCCAGCGTGGTCAGCTACATCTCATCTTGGAGCACACGTTCGCGAGCGCCGCAAGCGTAGATGCCCCAGGGGACCGCCAACGTTACCAAGGGGGTTACGGGGACCGTCAACCTTAGGAAAAAAATTACGGGCCTCCAAAAATGTGAACAAAAATGTGCACGAGCCAAAAATGTGATTTTGGAAGGTGGAAAAAATCGACCTGAACTGTGCCAGAAATGTGCATGGATATGTGCACCAAATATGAGATTCTGGCAGAAATGTAACAAAAATGCACAAACAATGTGAACAAAATGTGGTCTGAACTGTGCCAACACATATGGCTGGTCTAACAGCCGCTATAGCCTTTCTAGTTTTTTTACTATGTATGTATTTTGGGTACATTCTTGTGACATTATTTTCACGTGCTTGGTTTCGCATTGCATCCACATATTTTGGACTGGATACTTTCGTTTTGCATTCAGATTTATTTTTCCTGGTTCCCGGATTCTTGTAGAAGTTCAGAGCCATAATACTGGGGTCCTTCCCCCCCACTCCGGGTTGTCTCAGCGGGGGTTGGGGATGTAGGTGTTGTTGCTGGCAGAGTTTGTTCGGGACTACCTGAATCCAACCGTGAGAACGCCCAACTTGACGAGTGCGTGCGTGCGTGGGCGTGCGTGGGCGTGCGTGGGCGTGCGTGGGCATGCGTGGGCGTGCGTGGGCGTGCGTGGGCGGGCGTGGGCGGGCGTGGGCGGGCGTGGGCGTGAGCGGGCGTGGGTCGGGGTGGGCGTGTGCAAGTGCGCGTGCGCGCGAAAGCACTCCTGTCGCCCACACCAGAGACTATCAGAAATCTTCACAATGCAATCAGCGAGGCAACTCGATTCAAGCACAAGGAATGCCAGTCCTCGCATCATCGTCATGAGAGAGACAGTCGCGAGGATGATAGAGTCATCATAGCAATGATACTAACGATGATACGACAGCTTTTGAAATGATACCCGCGACTCCCATAACGATCACCCTGATCTCAATAACTATCAGCCGATTATGACAATGTGATAACACCGCTGACCAGGATGACGGGATAATGAAGACAGACGGATTCTGAGTATAAGGATGGTCACGATAGGAAAGTGCAGGACATCTGGCCGAAAGCTGTGATGATGACGATAATGTTGCTGTTGATGTTGATGTTGATGATGACACGCATGCTGCCAGCGACCATAAGCACAATCATGACAACAATGAATCTGAAGACAATGATGAAACTGAAAACTGATGATAGGAGCCCACTTACTTAGTTTGTAAAACCTGAAAGTATGCCAGGGTAGACCCCAAAGCATTTCAGACCCAGAGTCCCAAGGACCACGATTGGCCCTACAGCTCTCTCAGGCCCAACCGAGATTTACGTGCTTGTTCGTGTCTGTCTGTGTTGCTTGATGTCCGCTGTTCGTAGGTTGCAGAACACTCCTGGCCGGAACTGGGTTGTCCAAGCTCAAACTGCGGTCCTTGCTGCCGGGATTCCCGATGTTCAGGATCCATCACAGAACCACCATCCCCATATTCGTGGTACCTCGGACTGGCTGAGCAACCAAGTGCGGTCGGTCTCGGCAAGCCGTCTACAACAAGGCAGGCCACTCCATGCTTCGAAGGGCGACAGCACGTCGCCCCAGCAGCCCCCAGCCTTGGCAGCATGCTAAAAATCACGCTACAAAGAAAGGTGTACAGCCACTAAGACAACAGTAGAGATAGCCTTGGGGCGACCTCGCGAAGCCTGTCCGCATATTGTGCAACCGGCAAGTCGAGATTCCTATTATGGAGGATCGAAGCGAAGCCATTAACGCCATAAGCCGTTGCTTAGGCCCCTTCGTTGACAGCAACAGTGCAGAGCACTTGCGTACAATTCGCTTCACCAAGGCGGTCGGACACGAAGAAGCGCGGCTGGTGCCTCGAAGAGAGCGGAGCTGAGAGCTAATGCTAAGCTCAGGACGCTCGGAATCTTCTGCCCTGCAGGGTCAAAGCCAAAGCAGACTGTCGACTCGCAGGCCGCGGCATGCCGCGGCCGCCTGCCTGGCCTGGCCTCATGCGCGCAGTAATTGTCTCCTCCAGCAGCTGCAGGAAGGCGCGCTCGTCGTTGCTCAACTGTGCAGTCACCTGCAGCCCACATCGAATTGGAGTAGAAAGTGTTGCCTTGCGAGTGCATGCCAGAGCCCCAAAGGGGTCCCAAAGCTCGAAAGAGCATGGAGCTCGGCAGTCGCTTCGCCTCCTCACTATGCAGGTACAGGACACGGTGCTGGCCAAGTCGGTGGAGGGCTGCCTCCGCGGCTTTGTGGAAACTCACCTCTAGGGGTGGGGACAGTCTGAGAATGAACACAACATGACAACAACACGATGTGTTGTCAGCAGGACTCCTCCGAGTGAGCGAAGATGTCGACCTCGCCCTCATCTCCAGCATCTGCGGAATCTTGCATCAACAGTTTGGAGCCCAGAGTATCCAAATGATGCACCTGCTCCTGCATCCAAGCAGCATGCACGACCACACATGTCGTCATGCCAACCCAAGGGTGTCACCTTGGTCCCCCATGGTCCTCTGTGAGGAGCATCGGCAGCACAGCCGCTTGGGTGGCTTCGGCTTCCATCCGCGTCAGGCGCAGCGGCGGGATGCCAGAAGACCAAGTGGCGATATCCTCGCTGTTGAACTTTCACACTGCAAACTTCGGGCCACCGCCCCTTTGTGTCCTGTCCAAATGGTGGCACCACGAAGACGCCCCAGCCTTCAGTTGAACAAAATTGCTCATGCTTGCGTTGCAAGGTGTCACAGTTTACACAAGCTGCTGCAAAGCTGCGCTCCAAGTCGCGGCAGACCGGCCAGTCCAGTTCGTTTGGGTCAGCAAAAAGCGCCTTCGCACATCGCTCCAGCTCGTCACTTCGTTCCAAAGCTTGCGCGAAACTTCTTGCAGACATCAACACGTCTGGCTCGTTGAAGTCAACCGCAGAATCCAAGGACCTTGATGTATTCAGTTGAAACCCCGCGCAGAGTGAAGGGTGAGCTTAGAAGGCCTTATCGCAAATCGCAAAAACGCTTGCGATTTGGACTCGCAACCTCCACATCGCCTTCCAATTGCTTGTGGACATGTGCCTAAATCGCAAATCGCACGATTCGGGTTCTGAGCTGCGAACTCCAAATCGCCGGCTAAGTTGCTTATGCGTTGCTTATATGTGGGCGCTGCGCTTGTGAGCCTCTGCAAAGAGCCTTGCTGCTACTTGCCCAAGCCTGGTCAAGAAAAAAACCCTTGCAGCCCGTGTCCTCTCTGCAGCTTACAAAACCACATTCCAACTCGCTAACGATTCGGGCTCCGTGATTTAGATCTAAATCGCGTACGATGTTAATCGCTAGCGATTTTCCCATCTAAGCAAGGGTGCCAGGCCGCTAGATACGCTTGCAAGGCAATCTCTGAATCCGACTGTTGCATAGACACAGATGTCACATGGCATCCCCTCACCGCCGTGGTTTTTGCTTCGTGTCGGACGCACAACTGTGGGGCTCTGCGGGCAAGCCAGAAAGAATCGACTGCACACATCAAGTCTTCACTTAGCACGCAGCTTGCTTCGCTTGGTCAAGGGAGCTGCGAAGAGTACGAATGAGAAGTAGTGGATGGGAAACACCATAAAACAAACTTTGCGCTTCTAGTGCCCTACCTCTACAACCTAGCCCATTGACGACAACGAGGCTACAGTACGAATGCGACAGCGGTGGAACCGAGGGCTGGCGAAATCTTGACAGTGCAGATCCCCGCCACACCAAGGAGGATTCTCCACTGAGGCGGCTGGCAAATCAATCCGTCTTTGGAGTTGTTCGCCCGTCCCCGGTGAGAACCCGGTGCTAGAAACATTTTTTGCTGGAATCGGGTCGAGCTGGCGATGAGGGCGGAGGTATGTGATGTAACGCTCAAAACTGCGGACCGGTCGCCAACACGGCAAGAGATGTTCGTGCGACATGCTGACGGTCGACACGGAAGGCGATGACTGGCTATGGCCTGACAAACGCCATCCTGACGAAAGGAGCTTCGAAACACTCTTTCTTCTCTTTAAGGAGCCCCTTCTGGGGGCCATCTTGAAGCTCGACGAGCTGACGGCTTTGTCTTTCAGAAAAGCATAGCGAAGCGAGCAGGGGCCAAGATGGGCCAAGCCTTCACGCGCGTCGCAACACTGCGTGCTTCAGGTATCACGAAACCATTGAGAGTGCTTCAGTTTGTGCTCGTCGTATCCGAGTTGATTGCGGACACTGTCAAGACACCGGGATTGAAAGCTGTCGTGGACAGGAGCGGAGCACATGCGCTTGTGAACCCGGCAAAGCCAAAGCATGAAGGCAGAAGAAGCATGAAAATGGCAGAAGTACCGAACTCTTCAGTCAAAGTCAGGAGGCTCAACGCAGGTGACCAAGCGCAGCTGTCTTGATGAGCCTTCTCGCCACTCCTGCAAGCAATGGCTGAAGCATCAAGGCTGACAGGTTGGCGAAGAAACCCTCGCCATCCCAGCCCAGGCCTCGTGCAACCATCTCGACAGCCTAACGAGGCCGTGTGCCGTAAGGAACACCAGCGCACATGTCGCAGCAGGCAGGGATTGAAACTCCTGAACAGGATCTTTGAACTTCTGCTACTTGCATGCCTTTCGCTGCAGTGTGATGTGAAGGAACTTCAACGTCCTGCTCGGCCGAAAGTCCGCCGAGCGTGCCCTGTCAAATTCTACGGTTTCCAGGTGTCTTTTCTGTCTCTCGCTACTTGGCAGCCTCTGCTTGAATTGCTGCATGAAGAGGCTTCGCGAAGGCTGTGTTGGGGCTTCGAATTTCCACTTTCCCATATAGCTTCTCACCGTCCATGGCAAGTAATCTCACATAGTAGGGCTGGACCTCGCACTTACTTTCCTCACGAGCCACCCCCCCTGCAGAATTTGACTGTTCTCCTTCCCCTCAATTTCCCTAAATCTAGAAAGCTCATGCCCCGAAAAATCCATCCACAAAGAAGCGCAAACGAAAATCATGATGTGTGCTGTATGGCGTCATCCGCCAGTCTACAACGGTGGGTCAGCACGTCCACTGACCCGGAAACACGAAGTGACACTTGACGCTGAATGACCTGCATTGCCCCAGACCCATACCGCCACGACTGCTGCTCTTCCCATCTTTGCACCAAACTCTCAGTTGCCTTCCAACAGCTTGTGCTTGCGCTACCGGCTTCCTGTGTGCATATACAAAGTTGCTGGGTCCCGTGTCGTGGTAGCCGGGGCATGCCCAAGACAACCTTTCCGTTTCACCGTTCATGGCATCGACGGAGCGAATTCCTGAACATGGCTCGAGCGCTCGGAATCGGGGCCTGAGGAAGCTGCAGAAGGTCGCAACGAAGAAACGTGCATCTCTCCTGAGCAAAACTCCGACTCCACAGCGTGATTCACTGCTCGTGAGGAGTGCCACTTGCCATGCTGTCGCATAGCGCAGGAAATCGCTCTGCCAATCCGCTTCAACTCTGATTTCTGGTCCTCGACATTAGCTTCCCTGGCACGCTGCCGTGCAGCTGTGATGCACCTCACAGTCACAGGACATGTGCTGTGGAGCCCATGGGGCCCGCTGTGGGGCAAGAAGCGCAGGAGCATGCTCCGACTCAGGCTTCACGACATCTTGGCACACAATGCGAGTGTCTGCATCCGGGCTGAAGGTGTTCCCTTGCTCACAGAAGATTCCTACAGATTAGAGCCTCAATGGCCAAGCCAAGGCTCCACACTTATGACTGCGTTTAGCCGGTTCAGCCCATGCCCAAACCACGGTAAACACAGGAACATCCTGATTACGAAGTATTCCAAAGGCCAAACGCATTCCCAGGGGCGGGCCGTCGATGTCCAGCCCTACGCAACGGCAGCCACAGCGACGAGCTGCCTGTCCGAACTAAGACTTAAGAAGGCTGGAGTACCGGCGAGTCGGCGAGGGTTTGTGCGGGGCACTGCCAGCGACGACTAACAATTGAAGCGCCAGCAATCCCTTCTCCCTTTCATTAAACAGCCCCTCTAACAATAAACGCGCTCTGAGGAATCCACCTGTAAACATACCCGCCGTTTAAGCTTAAAGCCACTTTGGATTACAGGTCGTTTCACGTGCAAGAGTAAAAGCAAGAGCAGGAGCAAGATCCATTCAAAGTGGCAGTAGAGACAAAAACACCCTACTAATAAAAGCACTGTTCGAGTTCCATTGACAGTGCCCACACATTTAAGACTAGAGGGGCGGGATGAGTCGCGGCATCGGAAACGGCCGCAATAGGATTGGCAGTTGCGGCACAGCAGCACCAGGAGCCGCAGCGGAAGGGAACCGCGGACAAAGACATCTCGGTAGGAGGGGGTCTGAGAGGCCCCGGCCTGTTATCCGAAGACAAAGCTCCACGCGGCTGAGGTCTACAATAAGATGAATGTCGAAACGTCGAGCTTTCTCGAAGCCCACAAGGACGAGCACACTGCAGACAGCGGTAGCAACAGTACCGCTGGCAACGGCAGTGAAAGGTTTAAGAGGGGCCAAGAGTGGCGGAAACAACAGCAACAGCAGTTCCATAGCAGTAGCGTTAGCAGTAAGAGTGCGATAGCAACAAGAGTACTAACGATATTGCAAGCTGCAAAAGGAATACCCAAGCGGGTTGGGTGGCCTCGGGGAGGATTGCGCCCTACCATAAACTCAGTGGATTTCAACACGTCACCTGCCCAGCATCTGCATTTTAGGCCCACCCCGTGGACCAATCACTCGGAAAAGGCTGATTTTTCATCCAGGGTAGGGTCGCATTTGTCTGAAGCCGCTGAGACTTCCTAATGAATCAAAACTCCAGCCCAGTCTTCACAGGCGCTTTCCCAAACAATTGGAGTGAAGCTTCCGATATAAACTTGTGCAGTCACCTCGGCTCACTTCGTCCGACACAAAGGTGCTGCATGTAGGTCCAGGTGCCTCAATGAGTACCACGCCATCGCCGCACCCCAAGTCCCACAGGACGTCCTGCGAACGCAGATCAGCATCTGCCCAGATTCACACAACAGGAATAACCGCCCATCTACCATCAAATGAAATCAAACGGCATAGCGGTGTCTCCTCCGGACCGAGCCGAGCGGCCTGGTGCGGGGGATTACGGCAAGAAGCGATGCTTGATCTTGCTTCAACGGCACGATCGGCACGTGGCTACCCCGCAGGCCTGCAAGACGTAAGGAATGCGTCCAGCCGCGCACGGCACAAACGGCGACACTGAGAGCGGGCCAAAGGCACTGTCCTTGCAGCTGCGAATGTATTGGAGGCCCTCATGCGAAGGCTGTGAAGTGCAGTGAAGTGCTGTTTGATGCTTGCCGTTCTCGCTCATTCAAAATCGATCGTCGTGTTGTGTATTGCCGACCTGTCACATGCGAACATTTTCAGACTGCCCTCCATCCTCGGAATCTGCGAACTGCTGCAGATCCTCCAGTCTTGACAGCACATACCTCAGTGGCATCCAACGAGTTCAACAGCGGTCCAACAAGCTTGCATCATTCTTCATTCTGCATCTTGCACGGTCTTGCACGTTCTTGCATTTGATGGCATTGCTGACAGCCTGGTGAAGTCCCATCTCCCTTCCTAATCAAATCTGCCCTGGTTGCTTCCTAAGCAATGCTGTTTGCTCATCTTCGCAGGCATCCACCATGGGCGAGATGCACGTCGACTGTGTTCGATGAGCTGTCAGTAAGCCTAGACTACTCGTTGTCGACCGCGCCTCCGGTGAACAGCACTTAGCCTAGCGGATCCTAGTGGCCTGGCCTGCCAAGATCGAAGTGCTCGGTCAACCAAATCTACTCCACAGTCCAAGTCTTGTAGCTCCAGGGCTGCATGCGTCGTCTAACTTTCATGGCCAGAGTGTGGCGGCCAGTGCTTGAGCCACGGCAGGATTGAGAAAAGATACCATTTTTCTGGTGACCGGCTGGTCTGACGAGCAACATTATACAGACTCTCCTTGTGCAAGACCTGAGCTCCTTCATCTTTGGATCCGAATCCAAATGTGCACCTGCGAGATTCGGGCTAAACAAAGCAAAGGCGACACGTTCCAATTACTGAAACTGTTTTTCTTCACATTCCACCACGCGACGCAATCTCGCTGACCAGGCTGCCGAGAGTCCCTGATAAAGCTTACGAGCCCAACGAATTGAGGGCAAACCGTGCAAGTTTGGCAAACTCCGCCGCAGCAGGAGTGCCTTATTATATGCCTGTATGCTCGTTACAGTCCCAGAGACGACTCGAGTCGAAAGCAAAGTCTCATTGAGGCGGTGGCTGCGTGTCTTCACCACCAAAGCCGGATTCGCCTGTCCCAACCGCAACGCTGCAATGAGTCAACCGCAACGCTGCAACGAGTGTCGACCGGCCAAAAAAGCTCGGAACCGTAAAATGCATCCGGCATCGATGGCAAGTGACAGCCAAAGCAAGTTGTCTTTCTGTTCTTCCGTCCTCCGCCATGCCTGCCGGCTGCCTGCGGAGGGTACCCATTGATGCTTCCAAGGAATTCTCCAGTTGCACTCAGGCAGATACAATCAGGCAATCCACTATGAGAGATTCAAGAGCCGCTATGTGGGGCTAGAAATGTCCTCTCCCTCATATCCCTCATGGCTCGTATACATAGAGTGCATAGAGGAAATACTTAGACCTTACCAAGCCGTCATGCGCGATCTGTGCCCACAGTTCAATTCACACGCTCTGAGCTTCTGGCGCCAGGTCACGCTTCCCAACACACTTTCGGAGCTTTCCGCGCTTGCCCCACAACAAGCCCTGCCCTCTGTTTGTATCTGCAAGTCTTCGTCTTAGAAACACCCTGTTGGAACAAACGAGTTCATGCCGGCCTTGAGCCGAACTGTCGCGGCAGTCTCTGAGCTCACCGTGCAGAAGACTCAAGTCTCGCAAACTTTTGCAAACGTGGCAATGGCTGTTTTAAGATCGCTCGCCTGCCACCTGACGGCGTTCCAAGAACCTACAAAGGGTCACACCCTCTGAGTTTCAATGCCATCAGCCCTCAGCATCAAAGAAAAGCTGTTGCCGCGACACTTGCTCGTGCGGCAGTGTGACGCGATTGAATCAAGCGTCTTTTTTGTTGTTCCGACCAAAACCAGACCACTCAAAGATAAGAAAATGCAGCAGCTTAGCAACCACATCAACATTGACTGAGTCCCCGATGAGCTTGTAACCTCGGATGACTGACCGAGAAGTCATGGCTGAGGCATGTCATGGACGAAGCACACAGGGCACAACTGCTGGACCGTTCTGTCGTTCTGCCACGGGGGGTCCAGCAAACACGACACAAGTGGCCTGAGGTCTGAGTGGTTTAGCTTCATCCAGGTCACGCTGGCGTGGGGTGATTGTTGATGGGAAGCAAAAGCTGCAAGGAAATCCGGCGATCTGGAGCAGCTCTCGAGGTGTGAAGTACCTGCAGCTCCATGGCTCGACGTTGTCGTGTGCTTCACTGTTTTCACTGAAGCCTCGCCTCACAGGCTCTCCAGGCATCACAAGGCGCTTCACTCGCCCACCAGGCAGCAAAACCGGCCGACACCATGCTTCTTCGCTGTCGTCACTGTCGCCTTCCAGCATTTCAAGCGACTCTGCAGGATTCTTCATGCGAAGGAACGCATCGCGACGCCTGGGAATGCGTCGTCCTTGGCCAGAAGCGGTCCAAATCGATGAGCTTCGAAACAGGCAGTGGTGTAGCCTGCGCACACACTCCAAAACGCGGAAGGAGACTGGAATTTTGGAGGGGGGAAGGTTAGTCCAGGTTTCTCCAGGATGTGACACTTCAGACGCGTCACTGACGCTTCAGTCTTCGGCTCCACTCCGGGGCCGGGTCGGACTTTGTCGAGAGTATTTTTCCGGAGTTCGTATGCGACGGTGGACGACAAAGCCAAGGACCGCTGCCCGCGACGCTGATGCGCAGTGCATGGCGCGCAGCCTGCCGTGAAGGTTGAGGAGCTTGTGCTCGCAGGAGTCACCACCTCGCACATCAGCCAGAAAACATGCGGACCTTGAGACTTTCTCAGAAGAGACTGGTGCGACGCAGCGAAGACGTAAATATCGTGCCCTACATTGGCCGTGCATGCCGTGCTAGCTTGCGTACTTGCTACCTGTCCTCGGCACAGCCTGCTGGGTTTGTAGGGTCCAAAGCCGCCTCCCAGCGCTGACTTCGAGCTTCCAGGAGTTCAAGCACCCGCATTGGAACGCCGCAGGTTTCTAAATCCAAGTCCTGCCGAAAGTGCACCAAAAGGGCGAGACGGTGTAGCTCTGTGCGGCCGTTCGCGTGACTAAGAAGGCCTGGCCTGGCAAGCGATGTCCTAGCTGCCTGCTGGCCTACGGTGCTGCCCTCAGTGGGCAACTGTGCTGAAAGACACACTGGGAAAACTTTAAGGGCATGAAACCCGGCAGTTTGCGGGCCGGGTCATGTCGAGTGCCGTGGCATTGCGAAAGACTCTAGGATACTCTGCGACTCTACGTTCGACGCCCCACGCCGAAGCAGCAATTCCGCTCGACATGCACTCAACACACTCACGGGAAATCCTATATGCAGCCACCACATCCCACTACAGATTTCTCTGGACCAGCCGCTCCTCATCTGGTTCCAAATACTCCGCCAAGGGCCGTGAAGCCTCTGGAAAAGCCGCTGCGCCAGGGAAGTCCTGATGCAGTCGGTGCATGCTGCCGACACGAGTCACGAGATCGTTTTCCCCGGATGCTTCAACATTCCTGGAAGACAACCATTCTGCAGATTCGACCCTGTCAGAAGAGGTGCATGCGCTTTCGAGAACCCTCATGACGCGCGTTGCGGAGCAATCACAGAATTCACGGCTCGAGAGCTACCGACATTGACATTGAGAACAGTTGGGATTGATTTCGCAAAATCAACACCTGGGGTTGAACGGTGACGGACCGAGTGCTCCGTCTCCTTTTCCAACTCCGGTTTCCCGGGCTCCGCGGTCTCCGCGGTCTCCGCGCTCCGTCGGGCGAGGAGGTAAATGCGCGGCCTTCTGTTGGGGATACCTCAGAGACTCTTCAGAGAGAGGTAGAGAGCTTGAGAGATTCTCTACGGCACACACGATGCATGCAAAGTTCTTTTATGCAGGATGCACGAAACTCGTCAGCACAATGGCACACCTAAGGTGTACATTGGCAAAAATCGATGCCATGTGTCTGTTCATCGAATACAGAACACTTTGGACCATCGAAAGCGAATCCCGCCCGAAAGAGGAAGCAGAGATCCGAAACCCACGGGCGATGATGAGCGTCTGGGCGACACTTCCATGTAAGCCCAGTGGACTCAGAGTAGCACGAAGCCCAATGAGTACAGCCACACTCCCGTCATAAAAGAAGAGGGTGGGCAGGGCGGGAGAAAGATCGTCTGCAGCTGGTCCTCAAAGAGAGACACAGCTTAAGCCGAGATTTAGCAGTGCGTGTAGTGCCTCAAGAATAGAGCCTTCTAGACCCAAACCAACCAGGCCATGCTACAGAAGGTGATCAATTCTCTACGGCACACACGATGCATGCAAAGTTCTTTTATGCAGGATGCACGAAACTCGTCAGCACAATGGCACACCTAAGGTGTACATTGGCAAAAATCGATGCCATGTGTCTGTTCATCGAATACAGAACACTTTGGACCATCGAAAGCGAATCCCAAGGTTCCCAATGTTTCGTGAATGGATGGACTGGGAAGACGGGCTACGGAGAGAGCCCACCCCTGGGCCACAGTCCAACTATCAGCAATCCCTTCCCTAGACAGCCCGTCGGATGGATTGGAATCCGAGTTAATCCATTCTACCCAGAGTCTGGCTTCGAGCTGAAGAAGAAGAAGGGCTGAAAGCTGAACGATAGCATCGACATCTGACGACGAGCTGCTACCACGAATAATTGCAGCTGCCGCGGCTTCGTTGTCCACGAACCATATCAGATCTTGACCTCGAACCACGTGAGGTAAGTTGAACGGGACCAACAAAGAGCAGAAAGCCTCAGCAGCAAAGATCTGCGTCTCACGCGGTTCCCAAGCTGCGATCCACTCCGGTGGAACCGTAACTGCTTGACCTACGGCTGGTCCCTGAGGAGGAAACACAACCCAACCACACTTCGCAATCCCATTCTCAAAGCTGGCATCCGAGTAGATGACAGTAGGTCTACGTGGAGGTTGCAAGATGTTCAAGTGTCTGATGGGTGCTCGTCTGGAGATCGCAACCAGCAACCGAAGCTCCCGCACTTGTTCCAAAGACAAAGTGCGATCACCATCCTTAGAGTATTGACGCTCTTTGAGAAACCTCAAAGCCAAGCGGCCACATTTCCCGTGCAGGAGTGAACCTGTCCACCCAGCTTGACCCCGAAGCTTTGAGGCCTGAGCCGGGGAGAGCTGGCGGGTCTCAGAGGCCAATTCAACAGCATCTTGCAACTTCTGCATAGAGGCATGGGTGGGCCCGCATGTAACGATGCCATCGTCGAAAACAGATGAGAAGTCAAACGATGCCCCCAAGTAGCCAAAAGAAGGTCGCGGGGGTTGGGTCTTCTCAGGAGC